ATTTCTACAAGGTGGCAAATGAAACAGAGCAAAATTTTCTTGGACAAAAAACATTTTTTTTTGGTATTTCAAAAGAAAAAATGTGTTAATTTTATGCTCTAATTCATTTACAGAGTCGTGTTAACAAAATTAATTTTAGGTATAAAAGTGATAGTTTTTTCTTTGAATCGATTAACAAAAAACAAGGCTCATATTGAAGCCAAAACCTCGCAGCCGATTTCTGAAAAAAATCTCAATATACGGGGTTGCATAAATGAGAGAAATGCAAGAATTTGAAAGTAAATTCTTCTTCTTCCAAAATCACAAATTTTCAGTAGCCTGATTTGTGATTTGTGTAATTGTTTATGCAAACTTGAATATCACTTTTGCATGTTAGATTTTCTCTGAAGTTTCAGCTTCAAAATGAGCTCAACATTGTGAAAAGCGGAATAAGAGCAGAAAAGTTATCGCTGCAAGACCAAAGATTGTTTTTTCCAGACTACCCAGTAAATAAAACAAATGGCTTAAAAATTAAAAAACTGTTTCGAGCCATTTGGTTTATCCTCAAACTTTTGGTGCTAAAATACATAAAACTTTTTTTATATCCAACTAAGAGCTTGCCAAACTGTGAAAAATTTTGCAGTTTTTTCATTTGCTGCTTTGTAGAAAATTTTTCTAATTTGCAAAATTTTTATCAAAACATCGACTGACAGAAAATACATACAACCTCAATAACGCTTCAAACGAAGACCAAATCGCTCCAAGCGATCAGAATTTATCCAGTTCCAAAGTAAGGGCAAATTTGGCTGTGTAACGTTCATTTTATTGAGCAGATTAAATTCGCATAACATCGCATTACTAAATATATTTTTCATCTTCTATTTAACTATCTGTTGCAGAAAAAGGCTTATAGATTATACCAAACAGAGAATGCATTTTTTTCTCTGATCATTGAAAACTTTTCGTATTTGTTAACAATAAATAGCACAATTAATCAGATTGAGCGATACAGAAAACTTGACAAATCAAAGAAAATATACATGTGTTTATATTAAAAATAACAGAGCAATATGCAGCATAATACAACTAAACATTAACCAAAAGTCGCGATTATAAGCGAGAACATGTTTTACAAATCACATTCAATTGACGTAAACAAAAAATCGGAAAGATTTACAACAATTAATATAGAAATGTCAACAATTCAATGTGCTCAATAATTATTTAAATATTTAAGTAGGAATGTTAACAAAACAAACTGCGATGTATTTTCATTTCTAAATTCCTAAAAACTTTTCTAATACGCTCAAATACTTTTTTTATTGTGAAAATTTCATATCTTTACAAACTTGTCCATTAATCTTCAACTCCAAAAACCTTAATCTTGTGTATAGAAAAGCAGATTTTAGTCATATCCGCTGCTATTATGTTGCTCTTCAAATCCCGTATATAAATGAGTATATCGCTCTATGAAATTTTTTAATTACTGGTATGCAGGCGGCAGCATCTGACTCTAATTTACCCGCAGGGAGAAAAAGAGCTTTCGGTCTTTACAAAACCGAGCCAGATTTTCGAATACTTTTGTTATTCATCCCGGATGTTATAATTGCACGGTTAGTATGAGGCTTGCAACAATATGCGGAATAATTAAAACGCAAACCTTGTTTTTGATGACGATTGGAAAACTCTATACTGCACACAATTTTCCGTTGTACAATACGCTTTGTACGGTCTGCAGAGAGTATATGCAGACTTTATATTAGGTGGTTTACAAATATTTTCAGAATGTATTAAACATCAGAAAAAATTGAAGTTCTCTGCGTCTGCACTTGAAATGTAGGTAACCATGATATATTATAATTTAAAACCAATGATCAAAATGTATTAGTTACAGACGATTAAAGATTTAAGTATAATAATTAACCCACGACTTTATGAGTATTATTTTCAGGCTAAATCCAGCCTTTCAGAGTTAATAGGGTCGAATCTGTTCCTACTAGTAACCTTTAATGGCTCTGATGATGCCCGAAGTTCAATTTCCCTCTCAGTATTTGCAAGACCCGAATAACACCCCAGTTTTCAAAGAGTTAATTTAAAAATCAAAGAATCCAGAAATTAAAAGTCAGAAAAATGGTATAATTAATTTTCCGCTGTGTTTCAGTGCGCTTTCAAGCAACCTTTACTTTAATAGAAGGTGGGTTTTCGACAATGAATTGCAAAGCTCCCAAAGCATTTAAAACCACGCCACTCACAATAATATTATCTTTTAATACTCGAGGACGCTTGGGAGATTTTTTCGGTTCATAAATTAATCTCATACGTTTACCTTGACGATTTAAACCATAAAAATGGCTTGCTTTTTAAAAAATTTCTGAGAAAAGCACAAAGCGGATCTGAAAAAGAATAACAACTTTCCAGTTAAATATATTAATTTGGATGCTGCCTTATGGGTTTTGTTTAATGGATTTTTATTTGCAAAAAGCATAATCTAATGATAATGTTAATTTTACTGATGGCTGCATTTGCTGTTCGATTCGAAAGATAAACTTGCAGTAGTTTTATAAATTATGCACATAAAAATTTATATGATAACCTAAAATGTAATTTTTCACCTGTTTTGCACGGTGGTTGTTGTAACATATTAGACAAATATTCGCCTACAAAATGTTAACTGTTTACGAGGGCACTGCTTTTGAAATTGCAAAATGGTGCACAAAAATGCAAAATGGAAATGCAAAAATGGAAGACGGTATCAACTTAGCAGAACGAAACAAAAGTCGAAAATAATCTAATATTTTGCCCGTGAAGTGCATCTGCTGAAGTGACTGATAAAAACTCGAGTGAAATCGACAATATTTCGAAATAACATATACCAATAAAACCAGGTGGAGGAAAAAATATCGCAGAGGGTCGAGGAAAATTTACCGCAGAATATACGTCATTTAGGATATTTCTTCGCGTTCCTTGATGGAGAACTGACTGAACTGGTTATTACTGAAAGGAATAGAAACGCTTGGCGAAAAAAGCAAAAGCTTAATATGAAAAAAATAGGGACAAAGCATTTCATTGATTTACAAAGGGTCGCAGGTCTCCGATCCGATTTTCCATGCATAAAAGTGTCGCAATGTGTATTAGCCAACGAGATAGACATAATGAACATTGAATCTTAGTGTTACTTTCGCTATGGCTGGTGTAAAAACGGTTTGGTTTTTGGAAAATAACGAAGTATTGTTTTGGGAGGCTGTACAAACTATCAGTTTAAAATTTTTGTAACTAAGAGTAAATAAGACTAAGATGTGAACTTAAACCACTTGTTAACAATTTAGTTAAATAATAATTAGAAATAAAAACAAACGTTCCTTTTGGTGTAACAAAAAGAAAAACCATTCAGGTTCCATTTGTTGCATTTTTGTATTACCGATTGGTTTGTAAAAAATAAGTAGATCCGCCTCATCTGGTGAGTTTCTATAATGCAAATATGAAAGAAGCTGGTAGTTCTGATCAGAATGTCGGTTTCTTGATCAAGGGAAAGAAATTCCACTTTCCATTCATTCATACAAGATGCGTGGCAGAAACACAAGCAAACTGAAGGCGATCTACACCAATTATGGCTTAGAAGCCCAGTAGCTTTCTCATTTCTGAGTCGAAATAAAAAACAATTTACTTATCAGAAAGACCATTTATCTTCGCCGTCAAATTGCTGGAACGGATCATACGATCAAACACATCATCTAAACGATGGCATAAAAAGACAGAAACTCGCTGTGCAAAATGTGACATTGCGCTGCATGAAAAATGTTTCATCCACTACCAGGCTACATTAATTCATCTCAATTATTTCGGAGTTAATACGACAGATATGTATCTACCTAATGTACTTAAAAAAGCCATTGAAAATTTTAGTATTTTTACATCAATAAAACGTCTTAAATTGAAAAGGATTATTCTAGACGTTCAAGTGGAACGCTAAAACACAGAGTATTTAGGCACATCATCTGGGCTTAAATAACTTTGCTCTGGTTGAAGAGCTAATGACAATATTATGGCTTTACAAAATGAATCTGTAATCTTTCAATTTTCTCCAAAAATTTGGCTATTAATAACTTCAAAATACATATCCACATTATCGATGAACTTTTTAAATATGATAAATATTTGGTAAGACAGAACAGATTTTGAAATATTGGTTAAAAATTGATTGATTTATGCTTTTTTGCACGCCCGCATATACAAAGCAAAAAGCTAGAACCAATCTGACTGAAATCACAGACCTTCAGAGGCACAAATAGTGCTCATTTCAATGGCGCAAAAATCAATTCATCATGTCTTATTTGCAATCCCTGGCCATTGCTTTCATATACAATTCCAATATTCGCTAAAGCAAAATCACATAAACTGAGGCTTCAATAATTCTTAATTCAATAAAACTTTGAACTTTCATTTTCAGCTATTAACCACTGCCCTCGCATATACACCAATCCCTTAAACGGAATCACTTCGGTTGGAACAATGAATCATCCCGACTAAAAGCTAAAAGCCAAAGAAATATTCACTGTTATCCAGACCTGAAAATCGGAACTGATGGGCCCACTTGGCAGTCTTCACGTGAAGCGGACGTTCGGAAACATAATTCGACGGAAAATCAATCCAGATTAGCGAATATGAACGAAATTTTAATATCGGTTCGCACATGCAGTCGAAATCCCATTAAAAACTTTTAATAATTTTAGGGAATTTATTTTTGGTCTTTTATTGGAGCGTCGACGCAAATGCAAAAAGTGTTCAAAGTTTGGCATTTTAGTTTAATTTCATGGGAAAATTGTATTTTTTCGGTAGAAAATAATCTCAGTACTTTCGTAGCTGCAGTATATTAAATATATGTATTTCATTTCCATTCCTTTAAGCAGCTTGCAAAAGAAGCAGGCAGTAAACGAAAACTTTGAGCAATTTTTTTCACGCAAAGGTTGAAAATATTGAAATAATTAATGTTTCAAACGTACCATCGGAAGGTACAACTCTATTAATATTCCAAGTTATATTTCGATCATTTTTAACCATCGAAATATAATAAACAAATATAAATTTTGTTCATGGTGCTATTATATAAAGAAAATTCCTTTTGATGGCCGTTCTATTGATAAAACAGCAAATTCTTCTCATAAACTAGATTGATGTGAAAACAATATTACGAATTCTCAATTATTAATATTTTTGGAAACTTACTGAAAACTTCAAATAATCAAAGAAGACACACTTTAATCGTTACCAGCGAAAATCTGTAATTTATATCAACCAACTAATTAAGTTGATATTTATTACTGATTTCTAAATGTCTTCTGAGAATCTAGAATTCTAAAATTCTAAAAAACTAAAAAATGAACTTGATGAATTTTAAACTCAGATGATTTTTGAGAAACTTTAAAATGTCTGCTAGAAAAAACCATCAATGACGGACACTTATTATTAAGAAAGAGTTAAACTGAAACCCATGATCTGATAAAAGGATCTAATGAAAAAGTTAAAAGCAACAAACTGAAAGTTTATTGAAGAGTTATAAAAAATATTTACTGATTCCCAAAGTTTGAATTTTTTTAAATAAAAAAAAACCGCAAATCAAAACGACTCGAAATAAGTAAGCCCAACAATCAGCTCGAAAATATAATGTAATTACAAAAGCATAGCTTTAAAATAACCGTATAAAGTAAATGAATTTTTGCTCCCAAAATTGCTCTTTTTGTGACTGTAAATGTAAGCTGAATCGACATTGTTGATTAATTATTCAAGTTTTGCTGCCAAAAAGTGACAATTATTCCCACTAAATCAACAATTTTATCCCGTTTGGCAGGGAAAACTAGAAAATTAATGGGCAATTCATTTTGGCAGTGAAAATAATTCATTTAATTTCACAAAAACAGTTTCATCAAGCATTTCTACTGAAACACTAGAAATACGTCCACTTAACTTTAATAATTTTAATTAGTTTAGTTGAATTAAAATACGTTTAATTTCCACAAAGCCGAATTGTTCAAGTCATACAGTGTGTCCCGTAAACGCATGACCAAAAGTGTACTGTGACATTCTTTGGCTGAAAAGAAAACAATCTGATATTACTTTTATTTTAAAAAATATATCCGACTTTGTGGGCTATTGATGGTCAATGGTGTTAAAAAAATTGTTTATTGAAATGAACGACAGAATGGAAGAAGAAGAACGACACGATGGATTTTAATGAAATTCGTAGTAAACTTGTTTCTATGTAAAAAGCGTAGTTTCATGAATCAACGGAGTTTTAGAAAGAATACTATTAGAACTTTTTATATGGTAGCTGAAATCGACTTTTTTGTTGAGTTTCAAGTTTTTGTGCTTTTCGTAAAATCGTGCAGTATTCATCATCTATAAGCCAAAAAAAAATTCTGATTGCTTGTCAACTAATGATTTTCTGAATCTCTGCAAGTGTTTCCAACGCTTATGCCTTGCAACGTCGAATTGCAAATATTATCCTCAACAAATGCCTAACTAGAAAAGTAGTTTCTACTAATACGTTATAAGCAACAATCTAGAATTTTTGGACTTAAGAAAATTGCCCAAAGGCATGCTTTTTTATGTGTGAACTTATGATAAAGAGAAAACGTAACAAAAATAAAATTTAGGGTCGGAAAATATTTAAATTTATGAATTAAGATAGAAGAACGGACTGGAAGGGCGGCCATAAGTTGCAAATAAACACATCGACTTTTAAAAAATTAGAGTGTCTAATAGGTAAACTCGGTTTTATTTGAGATTCATCAACAAACATAAATCTTATACATTTATTACAATGCAGTGGCGTTGAAGATGGACCAACTGTGCAATTTGAGCGAAACACTTGGTTTTCAAAAATATTCGACGTGGCTATAAAAACTCGATCAGTGAAGTTCTTAAATTATTTCATTAAAATATATCCTTAAAAACGTACTCAGTGTTTATATTTTCTTATCTGTATATTGTAAAACAAAAGCAACAAGAGCTACTAATTGCAAAATAAACAATCAAAGGTAAAGTTGAATAACGAGTTGCTTACGTAATGTAAGTCGTTAACATAAATTGATCTCAAAATAAAACTGTATAGAAAATAATTATAACAATTTGAACATTTGAAGAGCTGACCCAAACTGGCCCAACTAAGAATCGAATTAGTGCAAAATTATTGTGAAAATGTCGGTAAAAATAATACTAGTGAACTACGCAAATGAAGACGTAGTGCAATTTGAACAACAAATCTGAAACAAGAAGATGCTCCGAAAATTGCGAGATCAGAAAGGTATCGATTAGGTAAGAACTCTTTTAGGGAGCTGATGGTTTCCGCTAGCAATCATTAGTGAGAAAGCAAAATGAGAACGGATTCGAAATACGACACATCACTTATCTCACACATAGCAAAACGTCCAGCAGTGGAAATTAGTTTTTATCATTGGCTTTTAGTTAACGTTGTTATTTTACAATGTATATTATACATATTTTATTATCCACATAAACTATATGTAATTCCGTTTTTCCACTGCTAAGTACTATTATAATTTTTTAACGCTATTTTTATATATTTTTATCAGATTCACGTCTGAATAATGAACAATAAAACAAGTACAAAGACTGTTTAAAAGTGTGGATTTCGTGGTGACCATTCCATGGAACGACGCGTTCCAATCTCTCTGTTGAGAAAAGCTGCTTTACACATATTTTCGGTAAACTATAAGAAAACAGTAGAAAAAAATTTCGAATAAACACACGTAGAAATTAGAACAGAAAAACCTCAAAAACACAAAAACTGACATCAGTTCCTTTAATCAACCGCCCATTCAATTTGCAAGACAAACCGAGAATCCCGAACCTAAAAATGTTAGCCTAATGAATCGGGTAATGTAAACGTTCACTACAATTAATTGCTCAAACACAGGCCTTACGAAGAAGCGTTCTAAAAGGAGATCTTTAATGCCTAATTTACCCTATAAATTGGTCTAAATAGATCCGCAAACATGGGGGGCGGCAGCGAAATACCTCTTTTTGGCAGGCTGGAAGCATCGTTAATATAAATTTGGTTTGCTGTGATCTTTTCTTAAGCGCCATTCGGTGCTATTATGATATTGTGATTGAAATTGGGGTTGAAATTCGTATAACATACAACGGGATAGCGGATTTTCAGTAATATGAGAACAGAACATAAATATTTTAGGCAAATAACTTCTGGAGTAGAAAAGCATGAAAATAGATACGTAACAAAACATTCGCATAGTAGAACTAAAGCCTCTTGAATAAGAGCTCATGGGAGTGATTTTATCGAAAGTATTATCAAGTCGAGCTAAATTCGAAAAACATGTTAATCAAAAGGGTATCTTTAAAATGAGTGAAAGTGGGAAATGAGTATTTTTTTTGGATAGTTGTGTTGTTTCGTAACCATATGATTTAAATAATTAGTATACAGACAAACAAAATCACTGTTGATTTCGTATTCCTCCAATTCTCTAACATAATATCTTGAGAAATCTCATTATGTATAAAGAATGTTACATTTTCGTTAATTATACATCATAATATTCCATGAAATAGAATAGCTACGAAACAATCTTCAATATTTGAATAATAATATGGTTTGTGAATATTAACCAGTGGAATTTCTGAACCCATTTTTTTCCGGAAAAAAGTTCGTTTGAGTAAAGTACGAAAGATGCTATTTCTTGGAAACATTTCTGTAAAACGTCCACCTCAAACAAAATTGCATTCTGTTCATTCTAAATGTGAACAATTTAAATTTCAAATCTAGTTGCAAGATATGTCAGTATATTAAGGGAGTTGCTATATTGCACAGTCTCATTTTTAGATTTTCCATAGTAATATTTTTCTGTTTAAATAGATAGGAAACACTCAACATTCAAAATCAATAAGTAATGATTATTCAAAAATTCTTAGTTATATATGTAATTATCGCCAATTTGCGTGTATTTTTAATCGCAATTTCACCCGTAATTAAGTTGGTTCATTCGACGAAATTAATATGAAATTCCATAACATAAGCATGAAAACGACAAAGTGGAGAAAACTGCCCGAAGCAAGGATTAAATTAATTTCACCCCGATTTAATGGAGTGCGAAACCATCTAATCAGCAGACACTCTTACTTGCGGTAAGAACATGAGGATTTTAGATGAGAATGTGAAACTGGCTCGTCATATTCAGTTATAGTTGATGAGATGAGCATTTTAAATTAATTATTATTTAGAGTAAATGCACAGGATAGAGTTATGTTCAATAATCAATTCATCATAATGTAAACTCCAGATTCTAAATTAGTATTTATTTACGCAAACATGCCTTGGTAAAATACTGCCCATTTGCGATAATACAGACTTTATTTTTCAGATTCAAATTCATATTTCAATTTGAATTTCGCAAAAAATTGTAATGGTGAATTTTTGGTGGTGGGAAATGAATGAAAAACTTTGCTACAATAATCAAGCATGAAGCATTGATAAACAGTAAACCATATGTTGAAAAAAAGAACAATCATCTAGTTAGTTAAAATGATATGATGACAAACTTTCGAGCTATTCCACTAATAGTTTAAATTAACCCTTTTACTCATGTTGAATTGACAAAACCATCAAATGTTTAAAAGCTCACTAATCTATATTAAATCGGTGTAATGAAAAATAATGTCAAACATTGACCCTTTCAGTCATAAATCAGATTAAAACATGAAAAATTG